TCCATAAATTAATAGTTAAAATGTATAAACGGTCTTTTATTAACCAGACGAACTAGACTGGACTATAACATCCCTAGACTCGGGGTACTATTAATTGTAGTAACGGAATACGTACTAATTTTATAAATGCACACCCTCTCTAAGTGCACACTATAGCCCGGTCCCAAGGGCGTGCACTTAGAGAGGTTTCACTGTAATAAGTTTCATTAATTTTTTTTATATTTTGTCAAGCCAACATATGTAATGCCTTTTCTAATATTTAACCAATAAAATTTATAAGAAATAAAAATGTTCAGAACTTCCGAAACCTTGTATAATCTAAGTTCGGGTTACGTATTATATTTAACTAGCTAGTATTTTTTTTCCTAATGCCACGGAAACTGAGGATTTAGTCTTGTTTTTGGGATGTTACATATCGGTTAATTTTTTTCTGGTAAATATTAAATATTTAATATTGTCAAGCAGACTTTCTTCTAAGAAAAATTGATTCAAAAGCTCTAAAACATTCTGCCCTGGACAACCTATTGATGACTACGTAATGAATAAATACGGAATTGCCTTATTCGTTTATAAATATTCCGGGGCATTTAATATAGATCACCAATGCATCACAAAATCTGGTATTGCGTATTAATAGCCAATTATTTGCAACGTTGTTCCACCATAATTAATACTGTATCAATAAATTTTTTGTTTTAGATGTGAATATGACAGATAATTTTTACTTTCATCAATACGCGTATTTATATTTGTGCATTCCGTGTTTATTCACGTGCATTGTATTTCCAATCAAATTTTTTTTTTGCAAAAAAATATATCGATATGGGATCTTTGCCCTACGAGCTATTGTTACACGAGATTTTATTAGGAAAATCATAATAAATCTATTTTTAGAAAAAAAATTCCTAGCAAAGATCCCATATAAATAATCTAGCTCAGCCGTTTCTGTTTCCGAGTTAATTTACGTTATCGTTTGAATTTAAACCCGAGAACTTTATAAATAAAATTCATAAAATGGGCTTATTTACAACTTCTAACATTTCTGACGTTGGCGTCACAGTAGTCTTGGGCTCCCAATGGGGAGACGAAGGAAAAGGTAAGCTAGTTGACTTATTGGCACAAGAAGCAGATATTTGTGCACGGTGTGCTGTAAGTATCCATTTACAATATGTGAATAAAATCATTCACCTTAATAAATGGTAAATTCGACTATGATATTTAGGGTGGAAACAACGCCGGACATACAATAGTCGTAAACGGTACAAAATATGACTTTCATATGCTTCCATCTGGTAAGTTATCCTTAAATTCTTGCTTATTTAATTTCTTGTTGGTAAAGAGTTAACGTGTTTTTCGTTGTAATTTAAAGGCTTGATTAACCCTAATTGTGTGTCGATCATTGGCTCTGGAGTTGTTGTTCATATTCCATCATTTTTTGAAGAATTGAAAACTTTGGAAGAAAAAGGTTGGTAATGACTTTTTTTTTCATTATGAGGGAATATATATTAAAGATTTATTGGCTTTGTAGGATTAAATGCTAGTGGTCGTCTTTTAATTTCGGATCGAGCACACTTGGTGTTTGATTTTCATCAAATCGTTGATGGCTTGAAAGAAAAAGAACTGGGACGATCAAGGTGAAATTTAGTTATTACTATCCAAACATTTGGCTTGTAAGGATGTTAACGGTTTAAAATTATAGATCTTTTTACAATTTTAAATCTAATTTTAAACATGGAGGATCGTAGTTATAAACCGTTGACATCTTTAACTGCTTAAGATAAATTTTGGATCTAATGAAGAAATTTTTAGTATCGGTACGACGAAGAAAGGTATCGGACCCGCATATTCGTCCAAAGCTTCCAGATCTGGTTTACGTGTTCATCATTTATCAAATCATGAGGTGTTTGCAGAAAAATTTCGCCAGTTAGTAGAGAATAGAAGGAAAAGGTACGGTCATTTTGAATACGACATTGAAGCCGAAATAGAACGTTACAAGGTTAGAAAAGATCATATATGTTACGTATTTAATGATAATTAAGAATTATAAAATACTGACGCGCTTAATTGAATGTTAATGTAGGATTTTGCCGAACGTTTAAAACCTTATGTTGTAGATAGTGTGATTTTTATGCACAAATGTTTAACGTCGCGTAAAAAAATACTCGTTGAAGGAGCTAATGCATTGATGCTTGATCTGGATTTTGGCACTTATCCATTTGTGACAAGCTCTAACACTACTATTGGTGGTGTGAGCACTGGACTGGGTATTCCACCGACCAAGATTGATAAAGTGATCGGCGTCGTGAAGGCGTACACAACGAGGGTAGGAGGAGGGCCATTTCCTACAGAATTGAAAGATGTAAGTATGCGATAGATAATAAGAGATTCAAATAGTAATAAATTAAAATATAAAAATCCTAACGTGATAGGAAAAAGGAGAATATTTACAACGCGTTGGCGCAGAATACGGCGTTACCACCGGACGAAAGCGCAGGTGTGGATGGCTTGATCTTGTAGTTTTGAAATATTCAACATTAATTAATGGCTATACGAGGTAATCTAATTGGATAGTTTTTAGTAGTTTTGAACCATTATTAATCATATGATACTTGATAATAATGAATCACAGTCTAAATTTGACCAAACTTGATGTGTTGGATAATCTTAATGAACTTAAGGTGGCAACTGCATATTATATAGACGGAAAACCTTTAGAAAGTTTCCCAGGTAATGATGCCCGCATTGTGCTTATTTATTACTTAAAACGCGAGAAAAATTGACCACCATATAATAAATTATAAAAGCTGATTTGGATAGTCTCGAAAAAGTGACCGTCCAATATGAGATATTACAAGGCTGGAAGTGCGATATCTCAAAATGTCGGCGGTTTTCAGAACTTCCAGAAAATGCGCAAAAATACGTGAAATTTATTGAAAATTATCTTGGCGTTCCTAGTAAGTCTCAAATTTAATTATCAACTAATTTATTTATTCTAATATAGTTACCTGAAATTGGCTTGATTTAAAATAAATTTATTCATTTTAGTCGAATGGATCGGCGTCGGTGTTAACCGTGAAGACATGATTGATTTAAAGAAGGATAGATAAAAGTATTTATTAATTTTAATATTTTTATTCAATATTGAATAATGTACTATATATAGATTTTATATTGTATTTTAAATTTTATAAAGTTAATAAAGAATTACATATTTACTATATCAATATAGTATATTGATAATCGAAAATAATTTGGTTAGTTATGTTTTACAGTTATTTATATGATTACACACTTTTTATATGCACCATTTTGACAATATATGTATATGTTGTGCCTTAGGTGATGACTAAGGCATCTTAGATGTTGATCGTTATATGAGATGCAATCGATTATTTGAGGTGTAAATTATAATTATTATTGAGCAATTAAATGTAATAACAATAGTAGTAGTAAAAAATAACTTTTTAATAATTTTTATTTTAATTTCTTTTTTTTTATATATTGAATATTTTTTATTTTTGATATATAAATGAATTTTTTATTTTTTTTGGTTTAAAGTTTTTTATCTTCAGGATGTGATATTTTTATTCAAGTTATAAGACACAGTTGCCTTCAAGGGTTCTTTTATATAGGAGGTTACAACTAATTACATGTGCACTTTTGGTGCTTAATTTAAGTAGTTTGCTTATACATTATTATACAAATTTTATACTAGATGTTATACTTGCAAGTCAATTAGAGGTCTTGTTTATTTAAATCCTCTGTATATGCAATCTATCTTGTATTATTTCTTAATTTGTAGAGCAGGCAAATTTGCCTACTAACTTATTTAATATTTTTTACAATTAGATAAAAATTTTAAATATTGATTTTAATAATATATTTACTAATTAAAAA